ACAGGAACTAAACTTGTTCACTGCTCAAACATCATAAATCTTCAGCCAAAATAAAAACAGTGGTTACTGGTCACTCTTTCAGAAACGACATATTACTTAGAGTGAAAATTCCACCATTTTGGCGAATGAATGCCGGCTTACCCCATCACCATTAAAACGACCTTTCGCTGCGAGCAATTATTCATCACTGGCCTCGCTGACCCTCTCGATCTCAATCTCCGAATAGTAACCCCTCTTTTCCCCGCACAAAACCATTGCCATCTTGTCAAATCAACAAATTCTTTACTCAAATTCGTTCAAAACATCCGGCGTTACTGCGCTTTAGAAAAAATAATACCAAGCTTGCAATATTCTTCTGGGAACGTTGAAGTTAAAAAAGCCATAAATTGTTCTCTTTAGCAAATACGTTTTTATTTATTGAAGAATTATTGCGTATTTAAAAATCTCTACAGACAACACATTTCTAGCGTACCAGGGGCGTACTATATAGAATCGAATTTATATTATTATTTAGATATTAAATATAAAACGCTACAATACTGGTATTTTCTTATTAATAACTTCCTCTTACAATATTGGTAACCAGATCCTACTACATTCTGCCGAGGAATTTGCGACACAATTGGCCTCATTTAGCATAATTAGAGCCGCTTCTTTGATTTTCCTTTTTTTACCATCCGTTTCTTTTAGGACTACATTTGAATTATTCCATTGAACCCTATGTTCATTATCCCATGCGTGTTTACAGATTTGAGATCTATCAAATTCCCTATTTTTAATTTATTTACTGTCATCATGTCATGTGTTTGTCTTTTTAAAGACGAATTACATGCTATGATTTTTTTCTGACGGATATTCTCAAGTTAAAGTTGATTTCATGTAATCGAATGAACTATCTTATAAGTAAAGTCGTCCCAGGAGCGCAACTCAACAATATTGGCAATATCATTTTAAAGTCGTCTACTTTAAAATGCATAATGTATGTCTGAATTGTCAATATAAATGAGTCAGATAAAATTAAATTATTAGAAGAATTTTTCACTATGTAACAAAAAACAAAATTTGTTTAATTTACTGTTTGTATTTTGAGAACGATTTCCGAAGTGGAAATTGAAACGTCAATAAACGTATTTTTATCTTTAATTGTGGCTTATTCCCAGTTTAATAATAATTTATTATATTAACAGTTAATACACTTAGTTTTAAGACTACTGCAATACATTAAAATACATAAGAAAACATTTTAATACAAAATTTTATATTCTAAATTTTAAACTTACCTCTTTTAGGTCTTTAATAACAAAAACGTCCCGCCATTATTTCTTGTTCAAAATAATCTATCTTATATGAAAGCTTATCAGCTTTCTACAGACTTTTATTTGTTTTGGCACACCACAATCACAATAAACAACAATAATTAGCTTTTAAAGCTATTAATTTGAATTTAAAATGTATTTATAAATACAATTTATTAATATATATTATATTATGATCAAATTGTGTAAGAAATCAAAACATAAACAAAATTTCTACTCTAAAAAAGTGGCAACACTTTATACACTTTTGCCACCCGCTGAACTGTCAATAATATTTTATATATTTCCGTATCAGTTGCGTCCAATTGTCTAATATATTTCATTAAAATTATTATTTTGTGGAATACTTTAAGAGTTGTTTCATAAAATTTATATTATTAATAATAATAAATGTTTTTGGTTATATAATAAATATAATTCTAAAATTTCCAATATAATGATGATTATATTTTTCTGATTATTACACCATGTTGACGCCTATGAAAGATCGAGCAGTTCCGTATGGGTTTCATATTATTAGCTGTGTTAGGAAATTTTGAATTATAAGGTTGATGTTCTGGAAATTTACCTACAAGTGACGTCACTTTGTATAAATCGTGACGTGCAAGTGTTTTACCTTGAAAAATGGTATACAGCCGATTAGAAAATTTTTAAAACATAATAAAAAAGTAGCCTCATCTCAATAAAAACTAGAAAAAGTACTGAGAGGCAAAAAAGTTTTAAAAATAATCTGGTTACCTAATATGGTACCGCAATAATAATTAAATTGAAACGTGTACATACATTTGGGGGCTTAAGGGAATACAACCATAAGAAAGCCACTTGTCCATTTTCAATATAAAATCTCTAACAGTTTCCAATATATTGAAAAAAATCGATTTTCATTTGGTAGCTTCAAAGGCTGTAACTTTTTTATGTGCAGATTTGTACTAAGATAAGTTAGGTTCAATCGAACTATTTTTGGTCCTAGAATATGTGGTTTGATTTATTACCTACCTTTTTGTTACACCCTGTATATTCAAATACTACCTATTATACAGTCGAATGTCTTCGACTAAATCGTCTTTACGGACGAAAAAAATATAGATTGACACTTATGGCTATAATAAATCTAGATGGATAAAAAGAAGGAACATAATTTGGGCGTTATTCTGAGAAACAAAAAATTAACCCAATGAGACGTTCCGTCTTTGAATTTAAGTTAAACGCAGAAACTTAGGTTTTAAAACGTCCACAATCCACCTACCTTATGGTTTTAGAAAAAAATATTAGAATTACTTACTTAGTGCCTAAGAGAAGGGAATATTGTTAGGAATATTAAAATAATACAAAATGGTTACCTACTATCTATTTTTAGTATGGTAACAACTTAGTATACGAAAAAAAACTATCTTTATTTTCATCATCATCATTCAGCTTTCTGCGTCCAAAGTTGATCGTAGGCATCCTCTAATTTCTTTCCGCAGTCGATTTGTCCATCGTGTAGGTATTCTACCTATGCTTCTTCTGTCTGCTCATACTGTAATTTTGGGTCCACTTCTTCTTCTTAGAGTGCCTGCCGTCTCCCTACGGAAGTTGGCAATCATAATGACTAATTTTATTTTAGAACTTGCTGGTCTAAACAAATCTATCGATCTGCATTGATACCAATCACGTAGATTCTTTAACCATGAGTTCTGCCTTCGGCCAACAGATCTTTTGCCTTGAATCTTTTCCTGTATTATAAGCCTCAAAATTTCATATTTTGGTCCCCCCATCACGTGACCTGTTTCACTATGACATTAGTTCTGTTTCTTTACCGACCCTCTCCAGTACTGCTTTATTTGTAATTCTATCAGTCCATGATATTTTTAATTCTTCTTCTTCTTCTTTTAGTTCCATGACCGTTATCGATCGTTGGATATCATATTGGCTACCATATTCGCTATCGTGACCTTATTGACAGCAGCTCTAAATAACGATGTAGTTGATTTTCCATACCATTGCCTTAGATTTTTCAGCCATGATATTCTTCGTCTACCAGGACGACGATTACCTTGGATCTTTCCCTGAATGATCAGATGTAAAAGATCATATTTTTTAGGGTGTCTCATAATGTGACCGAAGTATTCCAGCTTGCGTTTCTTTATTATATTGACCAGATTATATTTTGAATACTCTGCGGTTTAACCAGAGTTCGAAAGCCTCGATTCTTTTTAAATTGCATTTTTTAATGTCCAAGTCTTAGTTCCATATTCATATTGAAAATATTTAACAGCAAATGGTACGTAGTCTGATCTCCAAATTTAGATTTTTGCACGTTAGGAGTGGCTTCATTCGTATAAATGCTGATCTTTCAATCTCTATTCGCCTGTTTATTTCTACAGTATGATCATTGGTTTCATTGATCAAAGTTCCCAAGTACTGATATTTTTCTACTTGTTCTATCCCGTTACCATTGATTGTCAATATTTATTTGTTGGGTCCACTCTACGTCAGTAATTCTGGCCACCCCGCCCGTTTCAACTTCAGCTATGCTATCCATTATATGTCATCTGAGATGTATGCCCTTATTATTTCCTTGTATCTAACATTGTCTCTAAGAGCCAGTCCAAGTAACGACCGTCTCATTCTTCTTTAGACTGCTTTGAGTTTTATTGCTCTTGTATGGGTTGAAAAAAGTGTTTTGGCGCAATAAGGACTGGAACTACACATTGTTTGTTCGAACGTTTTCTTTTTTAAATAATTTGGCACGTTGCTCTTGAAGATGTCTGATAGAACTCCATTTTAAGTTGAAAAGTTTTTTTTTAATATTTTCTACAAGTCTCTTCCAATCTTTGAGACTTCTATAAAGATATTGTCTTTTCTAAGAGCTTTATTTCTTACAATTTTCTTCAGTGCGTTTCTTATTTCTTCTATTGATATATAAGCAATCAATATCCATTCTTCATTGACAAATCTTTTTTTTTTAATTTTCTTTCTGAACTTTTCTGTTAGTTGCTCATTATGGTTTTGTTGACTTTTGTATGAGTCTGTAAAGAAATCTCCTACTAACCTTAGTAATTCATATCTGTAGGTAATGATATTTTAATCCTTATCCTTTAATTTTGTCGTTTTGTTGCTATTTGTTAATTTTATCCTTAAAACTTTCAGGCTGTTGATATCTTTAAGCATGTGATGGATCTTTGTTTATTATAATTAGTATTATTCCTAAAATAGAGACTGGATCTTCGTTGAACATTGATAAGCGACCAATTTTCCTAACATCAGAATATACATTGCCCTTTCATCTAAAGTTTGACCTAGCTTTACGTTTACTTCTCTTTGGAACGTAAGAATTCATCTTAAGAAAGGAAGGTTGCTCTGTAGTAATTCTGATAGTTCGGAAACGAACCATAAATAATGTAAATAAATGAAATGTTTTCTCTCCTGAAGTTTCTGTATCCCTCTTGCTGTATCGTTCACAAAAATACATTAATATTGTTTAAAATATTAACATCTGTTTAAATACATTTTCCCACATTCTAGAATTTTCTCGATATTCCAGGATTTTCGATGGCATCTTGAATATTCTACAGTTTTAATACTACTTCTTTTTCGACAAGAGACTTCTTCCTCTATTTGGGATAATCCTTACGGAACTTTTGTGACAATATATTTGCTTTGCTGACAACTAAATCTCATATTTGATTTATATGTTTTTAGAAATACAACCAACGCAAGCACTTGTTGGAGGAACTGGACATGTCCTAGTGTCTATCAAACATCAATTTCTAGGCAAACACGACGTAACATTTTTACCAGACTTAGTGAAACACGTAGGAAGCTTAGCGTATGACAGTTATAAAAACGTTTTGTATGTTAGCGATTTGGAAACACAAAGTATAGTTGAGCTTAATATGTTTACAGGCGTTAGTAAAACTCTTGATATCAGCGGCATTGGCAGAGTTACTTCAATGGATTTTGGTAAGAATTTATTAGATATATAAATTTTTCTATACATAACTAATAGCTTGAAGTTCAATGAAAAGTTTTTGTAAAATAAATTATATTAAACTAAACCTAACATAAAGTTCTTTTATGTGTTTTTAAAAGCTCTAAAATAGAGAAGGTTTATAATGAAAAATAGCGAATTGCGGTCTTAATGATGAGAGGTTACGGTAATAGAAAACGATCTTACAGTAATATAGCCACTTTGTTAAACGATACTTTCCCAATCCATTCTTCTATTCATATGGCGACGGTACCAAAAAAAATTAAAGCGCTTTGAGGAAACTGGAGACATAAAAGATAGCATTCGAACAGGTAGACCAACTACTGTTATAAATTTCAATATAACTACTTTAGATTTATGTAAAGTTTCGTTTAAGATCCACATACATCCTCATGCAGAGCTGTACAAATACATGATGTAAGTCATTCTTCAGTTTTACATGTATTACTTAAGAATTCATTTAAACCCTACAATATTCAGTTATTGCAAGAAGGTGACTATGACTGTAGATTGCAGTTTCTATGTCAAATCAGCCATATTTTAAACGAAAGCAGTGCTGTTCATGCCTGTTTGGCCCAAGTGACTCATACTCTACTGTGAAATTTTATCTGGTGTGCATAGAAAAATTAATCCGGTTTAATTGATTTACGGCAACCATAGATATAATATGCAATATTTTATCTATGGAGTCTGTGTTTCCGTTTAAAATATGGCGATCACGTGCTGATACACTTCAAAGACGGCATCTGAGAGTGGACATTCTGATTCAAGCAAAAAAGGATAATATTTTGCCTCTCTTAATTTGCGAATCACTTCACCAGTTACCGGAGAATAGTCCATTTTATTTTGGGTGGCGACGGGCATCGAAAATTCTTCGCTAGCGATAGGAACGCAGGGAAATACCCTTTTTTAGTCTAGCGGTGACGTGCATTGCAGCGGGGATTTCTCAGCGCTTTCATGGCTTAGGTTTAAGTGATAGATGTCACGATGGCGCGAGGTCCCTACGCCGCCTCTGTACAGCTTAGTGAGGTGATGATGAATAAAATTGTATCTGACGAGAACTTCCGACAAAGCAATATTTACACAGTTAATCGGATAGTTTTTTTGTAGAAGAAAATTTACAAAGCGATGATTAAAAATTGCTACTTAGAAACGAATTATACCTGCCCTGAAAAACAAGTTTGGAGCCAATTTTATTGAGGTATAGTTTCAACAAGATAAATATTCAGCAAATTTTGATATAAATGTTGGGCCTTATTTCTTTTTGATATGCCTATCTCTGACGAATATTAGGGATTATTATGAGAATATTTAACTTTTCTACAGGAACGCGGAAAAGCTGCACATGATTCTTTAAATAGGATGTTCTCGGTTTTCAAATATTTTTCCTTGCAGGATGGCTCAATGGATGACACTGACGAACTTGAAAATAGATACGACACGTTTAACATGTATAAAAAAGTAAAAGAAGCGGCTGGTATCTTCAATAAGAAACAAACTGCATTGCTACAGGATGAACATGGTAAAGTAATATTTGAAGTAGAGGACAAACTTAAAGAATGGGAAAATTACGTCACGAACCTATTCGAAGACGATAGTAGTAGTTCACCTCCTGATATTACTAACTGCGACGGACCCCTAATATCACGCTCTGGGGTTATAAAAGCCATACAATCATCAAAAGATGGCAGAGCGACCGGTCCTGATGAAATTCCAACTGAAATATACCAGTTTATAAATGATAGCAATGTTTTAGAGGCTATAACTTCGTTTTTAATACCATTTATACCAGCGGACAACTACCTAATGGTTGGTCTAATTCACTGTTTATAGCTCTACCTAAGAAGACAACAGCAAAAACCTGTGCTAATTATAGAACCATCGGTTTGTTAAACCACTTATTGAAAATTATTCTGAAGGTAATACATTGTCGTATCTACAATAAATGCAAGGAATACGAGAGAGGAACGAGAAAGGAACTTTTTGAAATGAACGTAGTTGCTCAAAGATGTCGAGATATATCTGAACTGTTGTTTTATTGACTTTCAAAAGGCATTTGATCATGTTAAGCACTCTATATTGATCAAAGCTCTAAAAGACATTGGCTTGGACGGCAGAGATGTCCGAATAATTGCAAATTTATATTTGAATCAAACGACATCAGTTTTAGTAGATGGTGTGGAATCACAGACTCTCAATATTAAAAGAGGAGTACGGCAGAGATGCCTCTTGTCACCTCTGCTTTTCAACGTTTACTCCGAAAGAATTTTCAGAAAAGCACTTTCTGAAAAACAAGAAGGAATCCTTCTGAACGGCGAAGTCATCAATAATTTGCGATATGTGGACGATACAGTACTCCTAGCTTCTAGTCAAGAAGATCTGCAAACACTACTTGATAGTGTCGATGAGAGTTGTAGGGAGTCATGTCTGGATCTGAACATACGGAAAACCAAAATACTTGTAATAAGTAAACAACAGCATATAAAACCGTCTATTAATGTAAATAATACTGAACTTGAGCAAGTTGATAAAATCGTTTACTTTGGACAGCATTTAAATTGTAACGCAGAAAGTCACGGCGAAATTAGATCTAGGATAGAGCGGGCTAGGGCTGCTTTTAGAAGAATGTCCAAGGTGTTATGTAACAGAGACCTAAAATTGGCATTGGGAATCCGCCTACTTCGCTGCTAACTTTATGGTGTCGAGTCCTGAACTGTGAATAAAATCGATCTAAATCGCTTTGAGGCTTTCGAAATGTGGTGCTATAGAAGAATTTTAAAAGTTTCCTGTGTGAAGAAGATTCGAAACTTCACAATACTAGAACGTCCCAGCAAGACTACTGAGATCATAAAAAGCATCAAGCAAAGAAAGCTGGAGTATTTCGGACATGTAATGAGAGGTCCTAAATATAGGTTGTTAAAAAATATCATGCAAGAAAAAATAGCAGGCAAACGCAGTGCAGAACGAAGAAAAACCTCATAGTTGAAGAACTTGCGAGATTGGTATGGTGTTGATACAAGCATGCTATTTAGGGTGACAGTAAATAAAATTAAGATAGCTATGATGGTAACCAACGTTCTGAAAGGACATGGTACATGAAGAAGAAGATGGCACAATGGGTCTAAAGTACTGTAGCTTTCGAGATTTGATAATGATTAGTACTTCTCGGTTGTTCTTTATTCTTCTGAGGACCATCTCATTTGTTACTATTAAGTATTGGGATATTAAGTATTTTCCGATATAGCGACATCTCAAATGCTTCCAATTTGCTGCACATATTTTGTTTAAGGTCCACGATTTAACACCATAAAATGGACTAAGAATACGTAGCACCGCAGCATTCTTACTTTTATACAATGAGGGAGATTGTAGCTCTAGTTTTAGTACGTCACTCTTTCTACTTGGTTTTGGTTGACTTAGAGTTGACCTTCTGTTATCTTTTCTTGCTAATTATCATATCGGCTGTATTAGGATCAGACATTTCCCAGACGATGGATTGGTAAATTAGGTAGTATTAAATTATCTCCTCGTTTACCCGATTTGAATCATAAATATTTATTTTTATTGAGAATACTTAAAAAGTAGAATTTGCAAAACTAAACCAGCAAGTTTTATAGAGCCAAGGGAAAGAATTATCAATAAATCCATATTAATTTGTACAGAAACATGGAGAAATGTAATAGACGCATTCTATTATCGTTTAGGATACTGCTAAATTAACAACGGAGGAGATTTACAACATTTGATTAGGTAGACATAATTTTAGCAATGTAATAAAGTTTTAATTATTACGTTTAAATTTTGTTGTTCATAATTTAAATCAAAAAATTTATTGAGACGAAAAGACGTTTCTATGGTTTTGACTTATCTTTTTAATATGTTCCTGTCTACATAAATTCCAAAGTATTGTACACGGTTGAACTGGTGTTAAAGTGGCGATTTCAATAAATATACAATATACAGAGTTTTGTATTTAAAAAATCAAAGTGACTAATGATATGAGAAAAGTAGTATATGTGGCAACGTTATAAACACTAAATTTTAAATTTTCATATATTGCAAAAATAGGTGTACCTATCTCTGTTTTTGTATAGTTTGGACCATCCGTCTAGAGATATTCAGACTTTTCCAGACTTCTAGAGGTCCACTCTAAATCCACTCTAGTATAAATTGCATCTAAAACTCTACTTTGAAAAACTAAACATTTAAAGTTAAGTACATACAGTAAGGCAGTTCATGTCATAGATACAAATCACATGTAGTTACTTCACGACAATAAATAATATTTTATACGACTCTGTATTGAGGATATTAAAAATCCAAAAGTATTACTTCGTCAAAAAATCAAATTGCTACTACTTGTTGAAAATCAACAAAATACTCTCTCTCTCTCTCTCTTCAATCCTGCCCCTCAGGGGGAGTGTAGTGGTCGACGTGATGTCGTGTATTGTCCGTCTCCAGATATCTCTGTCTCTGGTCATTACTTTTAATTCATGCATAGGTCCTTGGCATATTCCTGTAATTTGATCTATCCATCTTGTTGGGGATCTTCCTCGTGATCTTCGGCCTTCTACATTTCCTTGTATTATGAGTCTCTCCATGTTTTCTGTGTTTGCTCTCATAACATGCCCAAAATATTTTAATTGTTGGAGATGGACTTTACTAGAGAGTCGTTGGCTAACTTTTAGCTCTCTTAAAATTGAATTATTTGTTCTACGGTCGGTCCAAGGAATTCGTAACATTCGTCTCCAACAGAACATTTCAGTGGCGTCTATCTTTCTTCTCTCCGATTGTCTCAGAGTCCAAGATTCACATCCGTAGGTCAGTATTGGGAATATTAAGCAGTTGATCAACCTCATCTTTATCGCTCTTGAAATTTGACAGGCCTTCCATATTTTGGTCATTTTTGCTGTGGCAACTTTTGCTAGATCACATCTACGTTTAATCTCTTCTTGTAATGACCCTGCGTTTGTGATTAATGATCCCAGATATAAGTATGAGCTCACAACCTCGAACCGGTCAATTGTGGTTATATGTGGATGATTGTTGTGTAGTCTATCCACTATCATGATCTTTGTCTTTGATATGTTTAATTGCACACCAAATATTTGACTTTCGTTTTCGATCAGTCGTATAAGTTCTATCAGCTCTACTTGAATATTTGCAAGAAGGGCTGTCTCATCTGCGAAACGTAGGTTGTTTAGTTTATGACCATTTATTGAGATGCCCTTTTTCCATCCTTCAAGTGCTCTTCGCATAATATACTTTCCATATATGTTGAATAATTGTGGAGATAGTATACATCCTTGTCTGACACCCCGTTCTGGAAGAAATTCGTTCGAAAGTGTGTCAAGTACTTTAACTGATCCAGTAGTGTGTTCATATAGTTCGGTTATAAGCGTAATTAGATGTTGTGGTACGCCTACTTCTTTTAGTATTCGCCATAAGTGTCTCCATTTGACCCTGTCGAACGCTTTACGGTAATCTATAAAACAGATGTATAGTGGGATGTTGAATTCCCTAGATTTTTCGAGTATCTGCCTTATATTCAGCAGGTGTTCTCGAGTGCCTCTACCTTTGGTAAATCCAGTTTGCTCTTGTGGAATTTCTCTTTGAAGGAATGTTTTCAGTCTCTCATTGATTATATGTAGCATTATCTTGCTAGCATGGGATATAAGAGAGATAGTTCTATAATTGTCGCATTTATGGAAGCTGCCTTTTTTATGTATGGTCGTTATTGTAGATTTTGTCCAGTCTTCAGGCCATTGTTTGGAATGCCATATTTGGTTACAGAGTAGATAAAGTAACTTTACGCCGGTTTCTTCTGTGGCTTTAAGCATTTCTGCTGTTATCATATCTGGACCTGGTGCTTTGTTATATTTGAGCTTGTTGATAGCCTGTCTTACTTCATTTTCGAGTATGTCAGGTTCTTCTTCCACCTCGTCAGAGATTTGGCTAACAAGCTCTTGGCGTTGATCATCTTTATATAGGTCCCTGCAATACGATCTCCATGTCTCAGCTATGTCTTCTCTGTTTGTTCTCAGGGTTCCAGTGTTATCTTCAATGGCCCAAGTTCTGGCTCTGAAGTCTCTTTTCAGGTAGCGTATTTTTCTAAATAGATCTCTCGGATGATTATTCTGACCATGTCTCTCAATTTCTTATACATTTCTCCTAAATTTCTCTCTCAAATTCTATAGAGTTTTTAAACAGTCTAAATCAATATGGAATGTCATCATATAACCTACATTCAAGGTTGAAACGATTATTATAGTACTGAAAAACTTAAACACGAGAAACTGTGTAACTGGACGCAATTCATTGCTATGCCTTTAGAAACTAATGTGAGTCAAGTCATTGTTTTGACTGGAAAGGCTATTTGGGCAGTCACGTTTAACCCTACAATATATTTATGTTCATCAGAATCGGAGCTCCCATTCAAACTTCGTGATTGTTAGTTTATTGTTAATGCAGCTTTAGCTATGACAAGCCCAAGATTAGTTATTGACGTGCGTTTAGACTTATTTCCGTAACCTGGTTTTTACACATGGACAACGTCGCCTTCTAGCGAGATCGTCGTAGAACAGATTTTCGCGTAAAAGTTATGAATGGATCATATCAAGACAAGTTGATTGAAGAAATCCCACAATGTTTTTTCTAATTTATATATAAATAAAATTCTAAAATTTTTTTGCAGATCCAAAAAGTAATAATTTATACATTTGCGATACTGAAAGGCTGGTTGTAGAAATTATTGATATGAATAGTCAAGAAAGAAAAATAATTGTCCACGACACTTTTGGAGAAAGTCCTGAAAGCATTGCATTGGTACCGGAAGACGGGTAAGCATTTTTGTATGTCTTATATTATGAATATTTAATATAATAAAATGTGGAAAACCAGCAACCACATGGATGATGGGCATCTCCAAGGCGATGTCGGAAAGAAATTCAAGCCGCAATAGAAAGGAGCAATTAGAAACGGAAAGACATATAACGGCGTGAAAACGGTTTAATATAAAAAAAAACACAGAAGTTAAAACACTTCACACATGTGAATTTTGGTATAAAAACAAACAAATATTTAAAAGTTTATAAAAGTGTCGTCAACATTTAAATTCTGGCAGAACGTTTTCAATCTAAACAGATCATCCTCAGTGCCTTGTGTATTTGTTGCCAACAGTAAAGTTGTCTATAAGACCTCCATGTATAGATTTACAGTATACCAAATTTTACATTTAATAATTTTTGACTCCAGGTCGATAACAATGGATATATTTTTAAAATTACTTTAGGGACTACATGTCTCTTTGCTCGAATATTAGCACGTGGTACTTGTCAGTTGAAATGACACAGACCAACTGGCTGAGGTGACAGGAAATAATTTAAAGACAGTTGAACGTGACTAGATGTCAGTATGTTCCGAAATTAATGTAATTTTTATTTGTGAAATTATAAAATTTATAATTATAAATAAATAAATTCCAATATTTAAAATTATAATATTATATATTGGAATACTGTAAATCCATACATGGAGGTCTTATAGACAACTTTACTGTTAGCAACAAATACACAAGGCACTGAGGATGATCTGTTCAGATTGAAAACGTTCTGCCAGAATTTCAATGTTGACGACACTTTTATAAAGTTTTAAATATTTGTTTGTTTTTATACTACAATACACATGTGTGAAGTGTTTTAACTTCTGTGTTTTTTTTAAACGATGTTATACAGCCAATTACGGGGTTTTTTCCCATTAATTTTGGTTTAATTAATATATATATATGTATATATATATATATATATATATATATATATATATATATATACAAGTTAAGAAACCAGAACTGCTAATTCAACTATAATAAAAGGACAGCGTCAGCACGCTACACCTCGGCGTCACCGAGCTTACTTAATTTACTTTTGTATTGTATAGCGTCACTCTTATTTTGCATTTTAGTACTGTAGTAAGTAGTCCCTTGTCAATAAAGTTATTTTTTAAAAATATTGTTCTTGGACCTAGAAACATCATTGGCGCAGTCAGTACAGATTTTCGGGAATTACGCTAAACGTTACAAAAATCGAACGGTTTCGCGTAGTTTTTCGTTTTAACGATTCACCGAAAAAACGAACTTTTTGTGAAAGTGTCCAAGATCAACTTTAGACAAGGTATCACCAAGACCTGGGGAAAGAACAAAAATCGTCGAACCCTAGAGGCAGTAGATTTAAGCAGTAGTTTCAACGAGACCTGGGAGAAGAACAAAATCGTCGAATCCTATAGGCAGCAATGTTGAAAATCTACATTTTAATGTAAGTGTTTCCTATTTTTTCCATTTTATTTTCCATTTTATTATTTCCATATTTGAAAATACTTATAGTCAGAGAGCTAGCGAGAGCAAACAATTTTTTTAAATGTTTTATGATTTTGCAAGATATTTTTAATAAGAAAAAGATTATTATTATTATATTATATTATTATATTTTTTGACAATATCTTATTATATTGAAGTTGAACGTTCTATATTGAAACATATTTTATATTTTATTAAAATTTGATATATTATCTGAATAAATATTTAATGAGCGAAACTGATAGCAAATTAGATTTAAGTAGCCTTGTAGCAGAATTAAATTCAATTTTAGAAACAAATAGTGATACAAATAACGAAATGGCTCAAACGAACTACCAATTATTAAAACTTTACTTAGATTCCATCCCAACATACGATGGTAATCCACATACCTTAACCATATTTATAGAAAATTGTGAAAATTTAATAACTAATTTTGCTAGTCAAACAGACGGCACCTTGAATACATTTTTACTTCGAGCTATATTAGGTAAATTAAATGGAAGAGCTCAAATGTTAATAGGTTCTAGGACAGAATTAAATACATGGCAACTCGTAAAAGATGCCCTTAATCTTAGTTTTGGAGACCAGAGAGATCTCGATTGCCTTATTCAAGACCTAATAACGTTGAGGCCTTTCAAAAATGAAACCCCTTATAATTTTGGCATGCGATGCCAAGAAACACGTAGTTTAGTAACACAAAAATTAAATACGCTTAATATTAATGCACAAGAGAAATTAATTAGAATAAACAGTTACGATGACTTATGTTTAAAGACTTACATTAGAGGCTTACCCTTATCGTTACAAACAAATATAAGATTAAGAAACCCAGACAGTTTAGAGAAAGCTATGAGCTTCGTTATCGAAGAAGAAAATTTTCTATATTCGTTACAACGCGGAAATAATTTAAACTCACAAAATTCTTTTAGACCCTCATCGAGACATAATCCTACGAGAAACAATAATTCTAATCGAACTTTTATTCCTAGAAATAATTTACAACAAAATCGCCCTAATATGAGATTTCCACCTTACCAATATCAAAACATCAGACCGCAATACCTAAATAATAATTTTAATCCCAACAATACCTTTCAGCCACATCAAAATCAATTCCGAAATTTCAATAATTATAATTCTAACTTTAATCCAAGGAATTTCGACAATAATAATTCTAATTTCCGACCAAGGAACTTCCATAATAATAATCCTAATTTTCAACAAAGAAATGTTAATAATCAATCCCAAAATCAAAATCAATACCAGCCAGAACCGATGGATACAACTTCACGAAATACTTCTTTAAGATCTAGACCACATTTTACCTCCACGCAATTATTTAATCAACAAATTAATAACGATCAAATACAATTCGAAAACCCCTTTGAAAATAATATTCCCACTGATTACGTACACCCAACTCAAGGAGCTAATGAACTTCCTTACGAGAACATTTATGAAACTCAATCCAGTCCTTATCGCAATCCGAATGAAACAAAAGAAAGATCATATCACAATCCCACACAAAATGTTGAAAACAGAAATTTTTGCATGGCCCAAGAAAACTACAATCCGACATAATATATTTAAATACAACGATAGCAGATTTACCACATATTATTATTCCTGAACTCAATGCTAGATTTTTATTAGATACAGGGTCTTCCAAAAGTTTGATATCTCCACAGTTAGCGCATAAATTTTATAAAAATTTTATTTCTTACGAAAATTTTAATATACAGACGGCTCACGGAATTTCTATGCACAATGAAATAATTAATATTCCAGCTTTTAACATTTTTAAAGTAAATCAATATAATAAGTTTTATGTTTTTAAATTTAGCGAAAATTTTGATGGATTAATTGGTATAGATTTATTACAAAAATTAAAAGCTTCAATTAATGTTAACACGCGACAAATGAAAACGCCTTATGTAACGATACCCATAATTTTTGAACCCAGTAAAAAGGATATATTATATCCCAAGTCAATTTTAAATCATACAATAGTTATTCCCCCTAGAACTAAGCAAATAGTCAAAATACCGGTAAAATTAAATGTAGGATTAGGTATATTAGAATATAAGAATTTCGGTAAAGGAATCGAAATGCCTAAAGCAGTAGTTAATGTAAAAAATAATTTTGCTATAACCACTATTACGAATATAAGCGAATATAAGACAACGTTAACTATTACTGAACCCTTTGATATAGAACCATTAGATACTGTAAATATTAATTTTATAAGAAAGATGGAAACTGACGAAGAAACGTCTATTAATGATGATAACATGTTAAAGAGGAATTTAAAAAATATAAGGATAAATCATTGCAACAAAGAAGAAAAAGAATTACTAAAAAAGCTTTGTTTCCAATATAGAGATATTTTTTATTGCGAAGGAATACCTTTAAGTTTTACTAATAGTATTAAACATAAAATTAAACTTACTGATGATTCTGCAATATATACAAAATCATATCGTTTCCCGGAAGTTCACCGAGAAGAGGTTAAATCCCAAATATATAAGATGTTAGCAGAAGGTATAATAGAAGATAGCAATTCCCCGTTTTCGAGTCCCATTTGGGTGGTTCCGAAAAAACAAGATGCTACAGGAAAAAGAAAATGGCGTCTAGTAATAGATTATAGAAAGTTAAATGAGAGAACCGTAGATGACAAATACCCGTTACCAAACATAACAGAAATTTTAGATAAATTAGGGAGAGCAAATTACTTTTCGACACTAGATCTTGCAAGTGGCTTCCACCAAATAGAAGTCGACCCACAAGATGTTGAAAAAACAGCTTTTAGTACACCACAAGGTCACTTTCAATTCAAAAGAATGCCTTTTGGTTTAAAAAATGCACCCTCGACTTTTCAGAGAGTTATTGATAATGTTTTAAGAGGATTAACAGACGAAACGTGTATTGTATATTTAGACGATATTTTAATTTATAGTACATCTTTACAAGAGCATCTTGAAAAATTAAAAATAGTTTTCGAAAGACTCAGAAAGAGTAACTTGAAAGTACAATTAGACAAGTCAGAATTTTTACAAAAAACAGTTATGTATTTAGGACATGTAATTACCCCTCAAGGCGTAAAACCAAACCCTGATAAAATCTCTGCCATAAAAAGATTTCCCATTCCAAAAACTCAAACTGAAATAAAAAGCTTTTTAGGATTATTAGGTTACTACAGACGATTTATAAAAGATTTTGCAAAAATTACTAAACCGATGACCAAATGTTTGAAAAAAGGTTCTAAAGTAAATCACGATAAAGATTTTATTGACTGTTTTGAAACTTGTAAACAAATCTTAACAAACGACCCTATTTTACAATACCCAAATTTTTCCCAACCATTTATTTTAACGACAGACGCTAGTAATTTTGCAATTGGAGCTGTATTATCACAAGGAAATGTTCCAAATGATCGACCCATCGCATACGCCTCAAGAACGCTAAATAAATCGGAGACAAATTACT